TCTAGTGAGTTTTTATTATATATTTTTCTACTTAGAAATTTTTCTAAAAAGATAATTTTCATAAAATTATCGCTATATGCACATATCGCTATATATACATAGTCGGTCATAAGAAGGAAGGTATTACTCTATCTATCTAATAGAAATGTCTAACTGCTTACGTCATACACTGTCTGTCGGAATTATCATGAACATAATCCCATATATATGTATATTATACAATAAAATTCAGAGCATAGACGGAATTCAGAGATGAGGTCACTGCGAATGCACGAAAGTAGGCGGTCGAGCGATTCAATAAACGGCACGGCGAAGGTCATGCTTAAGTCATCGGGCGTATTAACGTTTTTATTTTCGTGCCATTTATCCCGGCGAAAATTAACGCCGAGCTTATAGCCGAGGACGATTAAGTATTGCTTTTTTAATTTCTGCGAATTAGTCAAAAACTTTTTGTTACCTACAGGATCACACAATTTTCGCGTTATCCATCTGGTCTGTCGGAACTGTGTTAAAATACGTTAAGCACCTTAAATTTACGAGACTATTCTTGGCTGGTGGAGTTCATTATAACGTAACATAGGATAGGTTGCAAAGTTTCATGTGTCAAAAACGTACAGGGACGGATGATGAAGGCTAGACGTTGAAGTCATTGTCACAGACGTCACAACTTAAGGCGCTGCTAATTAGCCAATTAACTTGCGTCAAGTGAGATTTGCGTCACGTCTGTTTGCGATGAGGCATATCATATATTTTCATGTGTGTCACGCTGTTGAAAATTTACAAGTGGATCTTGTTACATGAAAGTTCGTTTTCTTATCATTTTTCGATAAAACTTTCGCTGGAATATTACGTTTGTTTGTTTTTTTTTTTTTTTTTTTTTTTTGTACAAATTATTTAACTTTCTTACTGTAGCAAATTACTATAACAATCTTTGCAGAAACTGTTATATATTTTTTAATGTAAATGTTTTTTTATCTTTTTACATGATTACATTGCTTATAATAAAATAACATAATTTTGTATTAGACATTTTAAATTAATTTTTATCATTTATCTCTAATCTAATTTTTATGCATAGTTACAAAAGCGTACAGTTACATTTAATTTATATTCTCAAATTTTACAGAACATATGGAATTAAATATATGGAATTAAATAAATCTCGAAATGAATATTAAATGTATATTTAAATTTAATTAATTTTTATTATTTATCGAATCCAATTTTTGCGACAAAAGTATAGCGTTATTTTTAATTTATATTCTTAAATTTTATAGAACATACGAAATTAAATAAATGTTAAATGTGTGAATATTAAATGTGTATTAAATGTAATGAAATTAACTTAAGTATGTAATTAAATTAATTCAATTACATGATAAGTTAGTTAAATGCTTTTACATTTTGCTTTGTGAACTCAATAATCTTGTTTTCATGATTGCAAAACGAGATATTTAATGCGCCTGATTTGACGTCTTGCTGCTCGTAATTCCCATGAGTTAACTGCAACAAGGTGTATACTCCATTAATTATTTATTCTTGGAGACAAGAAGGTGGAATTATTAACGTTGATGATGACTTCCTGATGTCATCTTTAAAATTTATCGCGATTTTACGATAACTCTGAATAATCATGGTGCCTTCGCGAGATTTTAGTAGTTTTAATTTCTTTAGCAGTTTTAAATACTGCATAAATTAATAATACACAACATTATATTAAGAAAAATAAGAAAACATTATTATTAACCATTAACAACTTTTATGATTAAATATATTTATTTAGTTATATTTATTTAGTTTATATTTTATATTTTTATTTTATATTTATTTAATTTATAATTAGGTATATTTAAAAAATTTTTATTTAAAATATTCTATATTGCAGAAGTACATATTAAAGTGTTAAAAATGTTGGTATAATATGGCAAATATGTCAAATTTTCAATGCTAAAAGCACTTTACATTTAATGTATAAACTCAATTCATCTTACGCATCTGTTCTATCTGAGAAATTAATTCACTTGCAATTTTTAATTACAGCGGCTTTATTGCGTACATAAGATGTAAAACGACGTTTAAACGATAAATCTCATAATAAAACCATTATAGACTTCGCGTTAACTGGAACGTGCCGCGTATCGTGCAACATGGCGATTAATTAAGCGAGACGATCAGATATGCAAATCTGCCGACACCTCATTGAACGGATCTCGATTGAACTAATGTTCAAAGTTGCCACGCTAACGGAATATAATATACGTTCTGTGCATAAACGTTGGAAACTTGGATTGCATCTTATCAAATGTCGTCTGCATTATAATTATTTTATCGTTTAAATTATTACCACTGCGAGCTGGAAGCTTATCCCAAAAGCGTATCTACGTTTCCGTAACGTTTGCAGTTACACCGGGTAACCAAGCAGTTAATTAATGCATTCATCTGATATGCAAATTAAAAAGTTTTACTCTAAATGACGAAATTAATTCACGAATTTTTGATTCTCCATGAAACCTTGATGCGCGCAGAACACGCAAGCACCGTGTTTAGTTGTACGTTACAGGAAATGGAAACGACATGCAAAACTAATGTTTTATG